CCCTGTATAGTATTGTAATGACTCATGCTCTGTTCTTTCATATAAATGTGTATGACAAATATGTGTGTTCAAAAATGTGTTGTGCAAATACGCATATCACACGTTTCACATACACGAAGTCTTCTTAGTGTTTTGTCAATTACTTATTGCTCAACAAAATATACCCAAGAGAAAATGGAGACAGGCTGAACAAACACAACTGAGAAGAGCGTTGAATGACATTCCACACGAGGTGAACTGTTGAGTGGAATTCGAGTGGGATACGAGTTGGATGGGTGTGAAGCTAACTAAGAAAGACTTCAAAGAACAGAGTGAAGTGAACACGTTTGTTGCTGAGGCTGTATGTTCTGTTTAGACCCCAAGGAGACAATGATATCTCAGTTAGCCGGAACATATGACCTACAGAGTCACAGTGGCGTCGGTGGCACAGTGGTTAGGACTCTCGCCGACCATGCACATGGTCCGGGGTTCGAGCCCACGCCGACGCACACCTAATATCTATGGTCGGCCTGCGAAATTTGGGCTACCGATATCCATGCTGAAAATTCCATACTTGTACCAAAAATACAGTGTGGAATCAAGCTGTAATCAAAAATAAAAAAAAATAAAATAAAAAGTGACTATGTGGGGGCTGAAGTGATGCTGCCAGTCAGAAAATTTTACATTCACTTACGTTTATACCAAGAGTAAATTCGATAGGGAACAACCCAACAAGGTTTGGCACTACCATCCAGTGGTGTTCCATGAAAAGATACATCCGGAAAGTCAGAAAACTAATGCATGTATTTACATTTGCAACCATTTTCTGGGCAGCAATTTTCAATTTACATGTCATAGTACAATCTTCTGAAGAAATAAGTATGACCTTGTAGCTGAGAATCCTTACTGAATTTCTTTTATACTGTAGAGAAGGATGACCCGGATGAAGAAGGTATCGAAAAGAATACCCGGCAAAGTTAAACTTTCGACACCACTAACAACTAATCAGCAAACGACCTCGAACGGACCAATCACATTAAAGAGGCATATATGATGAATGGAAATGTATATTTATAGAAAAAAAAGCATAAAATAGATAATAAAAAAGGTTACATGGGATATCTTTCTCAAACATGTGAGAGAAAAATCTCCCAGTTTAGCATGGGACTGTCAATGGAGAAGTTACACCATATCCTCTACATATATTCATCCAAATGACTATAAATGAGATCCTTTTGAGATACATTTATAGCCCTTATCCTATTTTCCAACCTGCCCCAAAATCCTTCATTAGAATTTGTATGTGTCCTCGTAACGGGATCCACAAAATCACTTGAATGGTTGTCTCTATGATGAATATATCCCAGAGATGACAGCGAACTGCAGCCTTTCCGTGTGTATAATTGACCCCGCATAACAATTCTGGTAACAATAGGTATAAGAGTAGTTGCTTTTCTATCTGCTATCCTTAGGGAGAGAAGCGACCTGGCGAAAAAAGTTCCTACGAAATAGTAAAATTATCAGCGTACCCTCTCTAGTGTTAGTAGGCTTCAAACATATAGCACAACGATGAACAAACCCATCAGTTAATTTGGTATAGCTTTTTAAAGTCATGATACCACCACACAATCAAATTCGTTCTTTCCGGAGCAACTCAAATCTAGGAAATACTGGAAAACACTAACCTCCTCGAATTGCAACAATAGCCTTGTAAGGTCACGCATTAGAAATGAATCAAGCGCTATACAACATTGAACTGCGTTCGTGAACCTCATTGGATAATTCGCTGATTGGTAGTTAGTGGTGTCGAAAGTTTAACTTCGCCAAATATCCTTTGTTCACCCACTACTAATCAGTGTTTTGCATCAACAAAAAAGAGAGCACAACTGTTTCCTATTCTATTTTAGGACCCACTACTCTTCAGTAGTCGGACCCCTCAAATATTGAAACCAGAATACACCTTCACAGTACCAGGAGAACATACTGTTTATTACTATTATGATTTACCAGAGCACAAACTTCTTACACTGTGAGCAACAAGAAATGCACCACACGAAATCTCATACTTTGTGCATGGACTAGGATAATGCCCAGACGCGCAGCCCAAAGCTTGGGGTTGTTTTAACGAGCCAACCCTCAAACATTTGACTTGAAATCTGATCTACAAGATAGTGGGGAAGCGTCCGCGCTGATTTCCAGCGACCAAACCACATGTTCATACATCACTTGGTACTTGCGGATTCTGGAGTCCATGTACAATATAGGTTTGATTGGACACTAGTCATTGACTAGTATAATGTGTCTTGTCTTCTTTTTGGTGCAGACTGAATTCTATCAATCAGGTTTGCATAATGCAAAAGAAAACAGTGGTCTGTGCAGAATGATATGCTACCATCATTTATTTCGTTGGCTTCTCATCAGCTGCTTACAGCCTAAATAAATTATGAGGTTCACGTACAGAAAAGTTTTAACATACCTGCAAATTTTACATGTTGTCAGTCAGTTGACAGAAATTTCCACAATTGGTGAACACTGCTCAGAAAATTACGCTTATATAGTTTTTGCACAGAAAGTTCAAGTCAAAATAAATGTATGCATACAACAGTGCCATCGTCAGGCATCTCCTCGGCATGGGGCCATGAGGTGGAAATCGAGAAATCCTTTAACATTATCAATACACAAAGCAGCTCCATTCTCCTCAAGTTTGCTGAAGCAATTTCTATCAAACGCTTCAAACCAGATTTATGTGTTCAGAAAGAAGCAGTTATTAGTCTTTCCTTGCCCATTCTGGTAACTGGATGTCTTTATTCTCTCCCTCATTTGATTACGTAATCTTTGTCTTTAACCTCACCCTCCTTTTATAATCTGCAATTTTGCTTGTCTCTTGTTTCTATGATGTAAGTTCAACTCAGTGCATTGTTACCTAATTTATTAGTCACTATGCGTCTAACGCACGTCTCATCTTTATTATGTAACTCCTTTACCATTATAGGCATACATTTACTTTGTTTAAAATTGAACTGCCTGTGTAAAAACTATATAAGCGTAATTTTCTAAGCAGTGTTCACCAATTGTGGAAATTTCTGTCAACTGACTGACAACATGTAAAATTTGCAGGTATGTTAAAACTTTTCTGTACGTGAACCTCGTAATTTATTTAGGCTGTAAGCAGCTGATGAGAAGCCAACGAAACAAGCAATGGTGGTACCATATTATTCTGTACAAACCACACTGTTATTCTTGCTTTTTTTCAAATTCATCAAAGGGAATAAATGCATGAAATGAAGTTTGCAATGTGGCCAACATGCCAATAGGTGGCTCGCAATTACGGTGCACTATGAATTTTTGATATTTGATGATGAGATGCGATCTGGAAAAAGCCTTGAAACTAGGTTTCGCGTTGGTTGTCTATGCTGACGAGTGAGTGCCAGCTAGCACGAATCTTAGGTGAAAGGCTTCCAGCTGACAACATAGGCTTTGTTTTTTAAAATCAGACTTTTCCAGCTACCACCCTAGGCAGACCCTGGAACGTGTCTACCAGACGTTCCTACATTCGCCCTTTCACACTTTTGTGAGAAACATTCACACCGTAGAAGCTATGAGAGCATTTTGTGACAGGATGTCCGGATTCTATCCTTCCACCCATCCACCACCCCTACACTTGGCCGTACCAAGGGGCATCGAGAGACACACATACAGACGGACAGACAGACAGAGAGATGAACAACAGTCGTGTCTCAATCATTAAATAACTTTTCATTTATTTGTTTCTTAATAATAGTTATAATGATAGTAATAGTAATAATAATAATTAAAGTATGAAAAGAAATTACCGGAAAAGCTTTCTAAAATACAAAAAAACAAAGAAGACAAAATCTATTTCAGGAAGAATAATAGTAGTAATAGTATTTGGTAGCATAATTAATAGTGTTTGTTTCTTTGTTTAATCAGGGTTCGTCGAATGATAATAGTGACAATAACAATAATTTTAGTAACACATCATAAGTGACAAAGCATACATACATTACGTACGTACGTGCTCGTTGTCAGAGTAGTAGTAGTAGTCAAAATAGTAGTCGCTGGAGTGGTGGCCAGTCAGTAAAACACTCATGGGGGATAATAAAAGTGTCAAATTGTTAACTTTTTCTTCTTCTTCGTTTTGTTGTTGTTGGGTGTGTTTTCTGGTTTATCCAAACTTTTATCTCTTTTAATTTTCATTAAATATAAATAATTCTAAGATGTGATGTAATTAATGTAAAAAGTGAGAATATATATGTTGTGCTTTTGTGTACACTTGGGGGGGGGGGCGGGGGGGTAAATCAAAAATCAATCTAGAGGCAGTATAAGAAAGTAAGTGACAGTTTAATGCCCATAAATATATATATTTATACGGATGTGTGTGTGTGTGAGTGAATGTACATACTGAAGGCGAAAAAATGTTTGGCACATGAATAATAAAAAAAGGGAGGGGACCCCCTACCCTACCCTACTCAACCCCAACCCGTAGGTCGTCGTTATCGTCTGTTACCCATCAACAGACTGTCAAATACGCTGAGGATACAGGACGCGAGGGGTTCGAGTGAATGGGTGGGTTGGTTGGGAGAAACAGAGAGCACTGCTCAAAGGGATTCGATTTTTTATCGCCTAATGAAAGAACAATTCGTTGGTCAGACAGAGAGAGAGAGAGAACGAGGGCAACAGCTGGGAGGAAAAGAAAGACAAGATCCCCATTTTTGCACAAGGGAGAGGGAGAGAGACAGACAGACAGCGAAAGTCGTGGTGCTAGGGGGCGGGGGAAGGAAGCAGAAAAAGGAGAGAGAGAGAGAGACGTTAGCGAAGGAAGTGTATGAGATGCATAGAGGCATGTGTACATGTGGGAAAAACAAACGATACACATACATATATATCTGGTGAATAAATTCATGAATAATTCTATGACAAGCGCAGAAAAAAGCGAAAAAGCATTTTTTATAAAACTCATGGAATCACTATTATTATTGGTATCATCACCTTCATCAAAGAGAGAAAATTCAAACTTCCCCCTCTCTCACTTTCTGTCAAAAATGATTTTAAAAAAATGGAAAACTTGGAAGCAAAAGAATCCAACCCAAACAAACAGCTGAACAAAAGAAAAGAAGGTGAAAAACAGAAGGCGACACAAGAAAATTAAAGAGGTAACACGCACGCACGCGCACAACTATAGGAATGTGTAATTATTTCATTGTAAAACAACAAACAGGAAGGTGGAGCAAGAGGAGAGATAATGGATTATACACAAAAAATGGCACACCTACTACTCCTTTAACTTAATGCTTCAATCAAATGTATGCCATCTGAATGACTAACTGCAGCAACATTGGAACCAGACCTCCAGCTAACTTGTAACCATTTACGTCCAACATCAACAGTGAATAATTGTTCATTTGAATAATCGATTAGTGATGATGATGATGACTGTGATAGTGTTGATGATGATAGTTTAGAATAACCGCCATCAGTAATATCGATTAATTCATCGTGTAATTGTCTAGGCCATGGTATATCAATACTATCTGGTAGTGGAGAAACAAATACTGAAGTACCACCACTAACACCAAGACCGCCAACACCGCCACTATCTGTTGTACGAAATGGATCAATAAATGAACTAGCCTCTTCATCTTGCATAGTTAATTTATATGAACCTTCAAGGGGATTATGACGATCAAAAATTTTCACTGTATTACTGTAGGAACCGGTTAATATGAAACTGAAAAGAGAAAAGAAAGTAAAAAAGAAATATTAGTAGACATTATGATGTATTCAAAATACATTGCACTGATCAAGGCACTCATTCTACTCGAACTCATGCAGTCAGCCAGGTGAGGGTTTACGGCGAGTTGTTGTCTGAACTGGTGACGACTAGTGGTGTCAGTCAAGGATGCCCATTATCCCTATTTCTATTCAATTTCATCATAGATGTACTAATGGACTTAGCCTTAACTCACTTCAGAGACTCAGGGATTGATTTGCTACCAGGGAATAATAGTCTCGATGACTTAGAATATGCAGACGATATAATCCTTCTAGGCGAGGACGATGACAAAATAAAGCAGAGTCTTCTGAACACCTTGAGATGCAATCTACGAATGTTTGGCATGCGATTTGCTCCTGCTGTTAAATGCAAGATAATGTTACAGGACTAACTGGACTACACTGACTCCTAGTTTAGAAATAGGGAGTGAAGTGGTAGAGCACGTTGACCGCCATCATCATCATCATCAGCCAACGCCAACGGGTTGATCTCTGACTAAATCTCAGCACGGATACGGAGGTTCGTTTCATATTCGCCAGTTTACGCCGTCTCTGGCGTAGACGAGATGTTCGACTATCGACCAAAGGGCGGTGTACTGCTCATCAGTCCGCTCCGTCCTCCTTTATTGCTGGCTGTGAGACCTGGACACTCAGAGTGGAAGACATAAAAAGACCAGCTAGCTGTCTTTGATCATAGGTGCCTGCGTTCTATTTCCCGTGTAAAGTGGCATAATAAGGTGACCAATATAGAGGTTAGGCGTCGAGTTCTAGGTAAACAGGGGAAATCAATCGACGAAATCGTGAAGCTACAAAGACTGAGATGGTTAGGACATGTGTTACGCATGCATCTCTAGTCATCGCCTTCCTCGACAATGGGCAATGTTAGCTGATATAGGGTCAGGCTGGAAAATAGCTAGCGGAGGCCAAACAAAAACATGGCACCAGTCAATGAAATCTACAACAGTTAGTCTAAGCCACGTAGGAAGGTGTAGAATTCCTGACTGATTGGGGTCATGGGGACGGTAAAAATCTATGGTTGGAAACAATTGGTGGCATGGCTCAAAATCGTTCTCAGTGGCGCTGGCGCAGATGCATCCACTCCTTGTGACTTATGATCTCCAATGAAACTGTTTTGTTCTTCGTTATTACTCCTCCTTTGTCTCACACCTCTGCTCACTGTCTCTATTATGCTTTTCTTGTACTTTCTTCTCTTGGTTTGTGTGGTACATGGAGTGTGGCGACTTGAACTGGTGCACATATGTGCAGAGTTCTATATCGAAAACAGACAGACAGACAGTTGATATAACACGGACTCTCTTTCATAACGATGCACGAAACACCAGTTTAATCGGGGGGAAAAGTGTAGAAATTTTAGACAGTGAAAGCGCTAAAAGAAATGCCAGTGAATTCCTAGAATCTTAGTATTCAGATGAGTCAGCAAGGAACAGACACACTATACATTACATGTTATACATCAAATCTGTCAACTAGTAATAAGAATAATTCTTCACATGACACAAAATGTCAAATTCCAAGTCACTAAAACCGATCAATACTGATAGAAATTAACAATCGATCACGATAAAAATTTGTCAGGAGATACAATTCCATCGTTCATCAATGGTAAATTCAAGTAAACTTTCAAAAGTGCTTGGGATGATTTGGGTGGAAGAGACGTTTCAAAGCGTGACGATTTAGGTGGAGGACTTAATTTAAATTAATTCAATTTAAATTTATTTCATGTTGAAAGCTGGCGCTGCATATGTGGTCTAGAAGGGGGACAATGAAGGCTGCCCAGCTCATAGGACACAACCAAATGGTCTACGAATTCGCTAGCCTCGTAACCAGAAGGTCGTGGGTTGGAACCCCCTGGGGCGGGTGCGTACTGATGAAGAGTTTCAAGCTAAACTGACAAAACAGTTAACTGTCCAGTACTCCAAGATGGTTTTCCAATGGTTCTCTAACCGATGTCAGCTCGTGATGAACTCCTGTAACCAATCAATCAAATTCACACAAATCAATACTTGAAAACTCTAGGAATTCTCTTGCAGTTTTTAGTCTTTCCACGTTCTAAAATGTCCTCATTTTTCCCAATTAAACTGGTTTCATGCATTGTTATGAAAAAGAATACATGTTATGTCAACTAGTTTATGTTCGCGAATTCTGAGTCGAAGGCGACGTCAACTCTTAGGAATTTAGTGCTTACCACAGTTCATGCAATTTATTTTGTAGACAGTGTTGATCTCTACCTCTTTTTGCTGTTGAGTGGATTCGATTGGTTTGCATACTACTGAATGAAGTGATTGTGTGATTAGTCTAATTATGTGCGTCGGTGGCACAGTGCTTAGAACTCTCACCGACCATGCACATGGTCCGAGGTTCGATTCCCTACCTGCAAAATTTGGGCTACCGATATGCATGGTGAAAATTCCATACTTGTACCAAAAATACAGTGTGGAATCAAGCTGTAATAAAAAAATACCATTTCACCGCCTTCAGGCGGAATTCCACTCCACCCGATAAAGGGAATGCCGAGAAAGCTTATCGTATTAACCAATGCACTCAATCTACTCGAACTTATGCAACTATGTAAGAGCTAACGGAGAGTTGTCATCTAGAGTGATGACAACCAGAAATGTCCGTCCGCTGTCCCCATTTCTGTTTAATTGTATCATAGATATGCTAATGGAGTTAACCGCAACTGACTTCAGTGAGTTAAACGTGGAGAACAATCTCATCGACTTACAACAAGCGGATAATAGTATCCTCTCCAGCGAATAGAAATCTTAGCATTTTTTGCATGCGGTTCACTCTTTTGAAATGGTGAACAGTTACTCGAAGTGAGTAACAAATGCCTCGAATGTTTAATATCTCATTTCAACGATCGATATGCCTTCCTTTTCCAACTCTGCATCCAGTATGCTTCCTTTTCATATGAGTAATGAAACGAAGACCCCCATACTTAAGGTCGAAAATCTGTAATCTTTTCAAATGTTTAGTTTGTTTATTTTTACCAGCCATGTTTCATCATACTGTTTAATTAGGATAGGATCTATAACTGCTACCTTGACGTGGTGGTTGCTGGGCTTGCATATCACAATTACCCAACAGGCTACACTGCTGGAACTATTGTTCCTGCAGGTCTTACCATCCCAGGAAGAGCAGTTACCGGTATAGTGTAAGATCTCTTTTTTATACTATGCTAGGGGTGTGCGGGCAAAGTCGTACTGCTGGGTGAGAGGGGTGTTTCCCTCAGACGACCAGCATGCCAGCCAGCTATGCTGTCTATCCACTCTCTAGAGAATGGGTTAGAAAAGGTCGACCCCAGAAATTGTACATCCCGACTTAACCCCCCGCTACGGTGGTCCGCAGCCGGAGGTAACTTACTAATACGGGACCAAACCAAAAAACCAGTTCATACAGGCTGTATGTGACCCACATCAAGCAGTTGTCCCCTGAGTTTTGAGGCGCCCCAAGAATAAATCAATAAGCAGTCTGTCTGTCTGTCTGGATTCAACATAGAACTTGGCACCGAAGTGCACCAGTTCGACTTGCCACCTTCCAAATACCACACAGAGGTAGACAAGAAGATGAGTGAAGAGAATCAATACAGTCTGACAAGTATAAGAGTGAAACAGAATGGGTAATGGTAGAAAGGAATATGAAAGATTACACAGACTGAATACATCTGCGCCAGCCATTGACAACGATTTTGAGCCATGTGTCACCTATTGTCTCCAGCCATTGATTCCTAGAGTCAGTCCCGAGGGCCCCAACCCGGAAGTCTGCATCTCCCTACCTGACTGACTGAGTTTAACTGTCAAGGATTTCATGGATTGATGAGGCCATGTTTTTGTTTGGCCACCACTCTCGCTCTTTTCCAGCCTGCACCTATATCAGCTAGTAACGCCCGTCGTCGGGGGAGGCGATGGTTAGGCATGCGCACCACGTGACCTAGCCATCTCAATCTATGTAACTTTATAGCCTCGTCGATTGATTTTCCCTCTTTCCCCAACACTCTACGCCTAACGTCAACATTACTTAGCTTGTGAAACCACCTAACGTGAGACAGAGATCGCAGACATCTATGATCGAAAGCAGTCAACCTTTTCATGTCTTCAACGCGTATTGGCCATGTTTCAGAGCCATAGAGAAGGACGGAGCGAACTGCTGAGCAGTACACACGTCCCTTGGTTGGTAACCGGATGTCACGCCTACGCCAGAGATGGTGTAAGTCAGCGAAAGCAGCTCGAGCTTTTTGGATCCGTGCTGTGATTTCATCGCCAATCAGTCCGTTGGTGCTAATACAACTTCCCAAGTAGGTGAAGTGGTCAACATGTTCTATCACTTCACTCCCTATCACTAAGTTAGGGGTTGACGTCGTCCAGTCCTGTAGCAGCATCTTACATTTTGTAGGGGCGAATCGCATGCCAAACATACGGAGATTGCTGCTCAAGGTGTTCAGAAGACTCTGCATTTTGTCAGCATCCTCCCCTAACAGGACTATGTCGCCTGCATATTCTAAGTCCGTAAGACTATTCCCTGGTAACAAGTCAGTCATTCAGTCAGACATAAATGTCAGTATCAAAAATAAACACTACAACAGCAGGCCGCGTGTGACCGGCCTCAAGCAGTTGTCCCCTGGGCTCTGCGGTCACGCAACCAACTTCCACGGTGTGGGCAGCCGGGAAGTAACAATCGCCCTCACAATCCGAAATGCACACGAAACCTCTCTATTACTCACTCATCTTTGTCTTCATCTTCATCTCTATCATCTTGCCTTCCTTCCACTGATGCAACTCCTCGACTTGATAGCTCTCCACTTCCTCTCCACTCTGCGTCCACTAAAAACGATGGAAGCCAAAAAACCACCACCGACAGCCTCTTAAAGCCGCGCCACCAATTTCATATAGGAGCTCTTAATGTTAGGACACTTTGCCAAATAGGACAACAAGCATCACTAGCCAAGACCCTGGCATCACGAGCCATTGATGTATGCTGTGTTTCAGAAACACGCATACAAGACCCAAGTGTGGTTATTCACCTAACCCCACCTGGCCAACAGGTTGAATCTGCAAAATTCACCTTGAGGGTGTCAGGAGATGCCACAGCTAGTTCACGAGGATTAGCTGGCGTAGGGATAGCTTTGAGTACTAGGGCAGAAAAGACATTGCTTGACTGGATCCCGGTAGATAGCCGAATGTGTGCTGTCCGCCTGAACGGATCAGTAAGAAGGAGGAAGGACTGCACTACTCGCCGATGCCTTTTCGTAATCTCCGCCTACGCCCCCACTGACTGCAGTTCAGATGAAACGAAGGATGAGTTCTACCAAAAGCTGTCTAGTTTGGTGAGAAAGGCTAAACGCTCAGACATAGTCGTTCTAGCTGGTGACTTTAACGCTCAAGTAGGGAAATTGTGTCAATCTGAGAAGGATGTCGGTGGCACCTATGGAGTTCCGTGCCAGCGAACCGACAACGGTGACCGTCTCCTACAGTTCTGTTCTGATAATCATTTGTTTCTTGTAAGCACTAACTTCAAACACAAGGAGAGACACTGTTTGACTTGGAGACCCCCTTCATCAAACCAACGCTGGACACAAATAGACCACATAGCAATAAGCTATCGTTGGCGTGGGTCGGTAGGAGATTGTCGCTCCTTCTGGAACACGTGCGTAGATACCGACCATGCACTGGTCCGCGCTCGGGTGTGCTTACGACTGAACGGACGTAGGAAACAGCTGGCGGTAAAACCATCACGTCCCCAGCTCGATCAGGAAACTAAATCCGTATTTCAGGAAGAACTAGCTAAACACATATCTGTGTTCGACAGCTGTGCTCACCCTGAAGAAGCTTGGAAAAATATCCAGGCAGCCATAGATACAGCTGTAAAAGCTGTGAATAAGGTAAACCCAAAGGTGAGTAAAAACCACTGGATCTCCACCGCCTCATCCGAACTGATAGATGCTAGAAGACTTATTCCGGCGAGCTCCGAATTCAATGAGGAGCGAAAGCTGCACAAGAGGAAACTTACGAAAAGTCTCCGCAAGGACCGTGAACAGTGGTGGGCGACAAAAGCCAAAGAGATGGAGAAAGCTTTGAGGATAGGCAACACCAGGCAACTCTTTGGACTCATCAGGGAAACGGGTGGGAGAAGACAAATCATTAGTGAGACAATCTCGGAAAAAAATGGCACTATAATTAGCTCCCAGGATAGACGACTGGATCGTTGGAAAGAGCATTATGAGGAGCAGTTTAATTTGCCCACAGCCACGCTCAACCTTCCGAGCATCCAACACCTCCCTGAATGGGATATAGATACAGGTCCTCCGTCACTAACTGAGGTTACTAAAGCTGTCACCAATCTGAAACTAGGCAAAGCAGCGGGACCTGATGGAATGACGCCAGAGGTATTTAAGTACGGTGGAGACAGCTTACTGTCCGGATTAACTGAGGTACTAGGCAGCGTCTGGGAATCAGAAGAAGTCCCATCGGGTTGGTGTAAGTCACTGATTATCCCCATATACAAGAAGGGAGACAAGTCTTCCTGTGATAATCACAGAGGGATTAGCTTGACTAATATAGTATCTAAAGTCTTAGGCTCAATAATCATGCGTAGACTGAGTGGTGCTCGGGAAGCACAAACACGAGAGAGCCAGGCAGGCTTTAGACCAGGAAGAGGGTGTATTGATCATATCTTCACCCTCCGACAGATTCTAGAACATAGGCATTCCTACCGGCGTCCAACAGTCATTATATTTCTTGACCTAAAGGCAGCATTCGACTCTGTCGATCGGGAAGTTCTCTGGAGATGCTTGGCTGTAAAGGGAATTCCAAGAAAATATATTGCACTGATTAAGGCACTCTACTCGTACTCATACAGCCAGGTGAGGGCTTACGGCGAGCTGTCATCTGAACTGATGACGACCAGTGGTGTCCGTCAAGGATGCCCATTATCTCCTTTTCTATTCAACTTCATCATAGATGTGTTAATGGACTTAACCCTAGGTGACTTCAGCGATTCAGGGATTGACTTGCTACCTGGGAATAATCTCGTTGACTTGGAATATGCAGACGATATAGTCCTTCTAGGCGAAGACGCTGACGAAATGCAGAGTCTTCTAAACACCTTGAACAGCAATCTACGAATGTTTGGCATGCGATTCGCTCCCGCCAAATGCAAGATGATGTTACAGGACTGGACTACATCGACGCCTAGTTTAAAAATAGGAAGTGAAGTGGTAGAGCACGTTGACCGCTTCACTTATTTGGGAAGTACCATCAGCCCCAACGGGCTGATCTCTGACGAAATCTCAGCACGAATACAAGGGGCTCGTTTCGCATTTGTTAGTTTACGCCGACTCTGGCGTAGACGAGATGTTCGACTATCGACCAAAGGGCGGGTGTACTGCTCATCAGTCCGCTCCGTCCTCCTTTATGGTTGTGAGACCTGGCCACTGAGAGTGGAAGACATGAAAAGACTAGCTGTCTTTGATCATAGGTGCCTGCGTTCTATTTCCCGTGTAAAGTGGCATAATAAGGTGAGCAACATGGAGGTTAGGCGTAGAGTTCTAGGTAAGGAGGGGAAATCAATCGACGAAGTCGTGAAGCTACATCGACTGAGATGGTTAGGACATGTGTTACGTATGCCAAGTCATCGCCTCCCTCGACGAGCTATGTTAGCGGATATAGGGTCAGGCTGGAAAAAAGCTAGCGGCGGTCAAACAAAAACTTGGCACCAGTCAATGAAATCCACAACAGTTGGTCTAAGCCACGTAGGAAGGTGTAGACTTCCAGGCTGGGGTCCTCGGGACGGCAAAAATCTATGGTTGGAAACAATTGGTGACATGGCTCAAAATCGTTCTCAGTGGCGCAGATGCATCCACTCCCTGTGACTTATGATCTTCAATGAAACTGTTTTGTATTTATTTATTACTCCTTTGTCTCACACCTCTGCTCACTGTTTCTATTATGCTTTTCTTGTACTTTCTTCTCTTGCTTCGCGTGCTACACGGAATGTGGCGACTTGAACTTCCGCACATTTGTGCAAAGTTCTATGTCGAAAACAGACAGACAGACAACAGCCTTATATATTTCTGTACATCTCGTAACCCGTAGCACAGATTTTTATATAAAATTAACTTAATAACAATTGACAAATGACTTACCGATCATCTGAGGAGACAGTTAACTTGAAATCATCAAAAAGTAATTCAGTTTCATAGAGAACTGTGAGATGCTTCCTTAAATGAATTTGAACAGGATAAATTTCAACTGGTTGATTTGGCATTCTTGAATCCCAAGCTTGAAGTAAGTCACAAAGAAAGAATAGTGAATATACAGAGCTGTTTGAGTGAGTGAATGACTGACTGACTGATTCAGTGTAAATTTACCTCATTTCAAGGGGGGGGGGTTGACATGATATCCTGATGTCAATCAAAGAGTAACGACAGAAGACAATGGCAGGGCAACTGATAGTTTATTGAGAAAATCAACAGATATTTATAGATTTTTATGTACATTATTGTCAGCGGAGAAGCAGCCTCTCCTGATTGGCTGTTTTCTTGCTCAAGGTTATTCTGTACTGCTTGTGACCGTTTCTCAGAAAAATAAGCCATATATCTACGAGTTGTATTTTCACACGTTAAGCCTCCTGTGATTGGTTGGTGAGTTCCTCAAGGTTATTGTCGTTATTGTTATTGTTTTTCTCATGACCGCGATTCGGGGCGTAACACTGACATAAATTGCTGTCTGCAATTTTTGGCTTGCGGCCACCTCTTACCACAAAAGGACTTGTGTACTGAGAAACAGTTCACTGCGTTCTTCTTTATGACTGTGAAACATGTTCGTTGAAAATGGAAGATATGGAATGACTAGATGTCCTTGACCAGTGATACTTTCATTTCTCCTGTGTTAAGCAGTAGAGTATAATGAGTAATAATGAAGTTAAGAGTACAGCGTCAGGTGAAAAGGCTAGGTGGATGAGATTGTAAAGTCACATAGACTGAAATGGCTAGGACATGTGCTATGCATGCTGAGCCACCAGATTCCTAGATGAACAATGGTTGCAGAAACAGGATTGGTTAGAGGGGTGGTTAAACCAAAACACGGCATCAATTGGTTTGAGGCATAGACTGTCTGCCTGGCCCAATAAACGATCTAGTACGGTAGATGGGTGGGTAGACTTCTGTCTTCCTCTCCAAATGCTCTCTCATGATGCCATGCATTCACAGTCTCCCTCTGCAAGTCAAGTCCTACTTATTGCCTTCAAGCAGTGGTGACAGTGTACCTCATTAAAGTGAAATGGTGAATGCAAACGCCTGGCGCTTACAACCTGACTGGTGGACATGGTGGTTTATCCTTACTCCAAACCTACGGTGTACATGGGCTCCATAATCCGAAAGGAATGAATGGAACTATGAGAATGCAGCTCCTGACGGTGTCCCAGTGTTTTGTGGATTAGGCTTCAAGTCAACGGCTTGGCCATTTAAGAGAATCAAATGCTTCGATCTAGATGAGAAGACTGAGTATTTTCAACATAAAACTTTGCAGAGAAGTGCATCAGTTTGAGTGATGCATTCTCTCAGTGCCCATAATGCACCAATTCTGAGTTTTAATAAATGAATAAGACTGGATGCTGGAGTCGTTAAGATGCTAACAATCAACAATGACTTATGTGCGTCGGTGGCACAGTGGTTAGGACTCTCGCCAACCATGCACATGGTCCGAGGTTCGATCCCTTGCCGAAGCACACCTGATATTATCTATGGTCGGCCTACAAAATTTGAGCTACCGATATCCATGCTGAAAATTCCATACTTGTACGAAAAATACAGTGTGGAATCAAACTGTAATCAAAACTTTAAAAAAATAAAAATAAAATAGACACTACTGGTAATATGACTCAAGGATAGTTAGTATTCTCGACAGCGCAGATACATTCACTGTTTGTAATATTCTAGATGAGCTGAATCTTCCCACTGTTTCAATGCTAATATTCCGCCCAATATACGAGAACATACATTATATGATTATAATTATTCCCTTGCATTCCGAGTGCAACATAGGGCTTCAACAACACATCTCCACTTTGTTATGTTTTCTGCCATCCTTTTCACCTGGGTCCAAGATTTACCAAACTCTCTCATCTCTTCCACACACACACGATCTCCTCCATATCACCATTGGAGTAACAACCCGACCGTCGCTTCTCAATTGGATTCCACTCGAGGGCCTGACGTGCAATGTCATTCGACGGCCTCCTCAATGTATGCCCCCAATCAATTCATCTCCACTTTCTCCTACATATTTGTTGAGCGATCGGTTCTTCGTTGGTTGGTTTGTTCCATTGCAGAGTTTCTTGTTACTAATTCTTCAGTAAGGAGCCAGTGAAGGTGGCAGCTGTTGATGAAAATCTTCAGCCTGTTGGAAATCCTTTTTGGTGCCTAACACGCAGTATAAGTTTCTGTCCTGTATAGAAGAACCGACTTCACATTAGTGTTGAAAATGCGAATCTTGTTCTTTATGCTGTTTGTGGAAGATTTCCAAACTGGTTTCAGGTTGATGACGGCGTATCTTACACCTTTCCGATTCTGACTGCCTTTGACATCTTCGTCAGTTCCATCCGCCTGTAGTTGAAACGATGCTTCCTGGTCAGATAAGTGAAGGAGGCAATCTCTGTTAAATCTCCCTCGCGTTGATGGTGATTGGTGCTGGTTGTTGTTGCTGTTGATTGGTTATCTTTATCACCTCCATCTTTCTCGATGTTCACCTGCAGTCCTGTTTTCGCTTCCAGCCTCTTCAGCCAGTTTGTTGGTTTTCGTCAGCCCGTAAGTCTTCGAGTTTGTGTGACACTAGACAATATATCACCTGCAAAATCACCATCTTCTAGAGTCTTCTTATCCGTTGTCTAGTGTATTCCTGACTCCTCGTACACAACAGTCTGTCTCACGCATAATCCAGTCCACCACAATTAAGAATATCATCGTGGGTGATAATAGGCAGGCAGGCAGCCAGCCAGCTTGTCTTACTCCTATACGCGCTTTGAACGCCTCACTGAGTTTTCCGTTGTGTACCATTTGACAATTGGCATTGTCATATATAGCCAACTGTTGAATGAGGTTGACAAAGACTTGGGTACTGCACGCCGTAATGTTGAAGCAGCTTCCAAATGACTTATCGATCACCACTGTCTGCTGAAGGCCTTTTCGAAGTCGATGAAAGAAGTTGAGGTAAAGAGAGAGGTTTGATTGCCATTCTATGCTTTGTTCTGTGATGATGATGATGATGATGCGTAGAGTTGCAATTTGATTAGCACATGATGATTTGCCTTTCCTGAATCCAGTCAGCCAGCCAGCTTGTTCCGGTGGAACTGGAGGAGTTTTATATATCCAGTGCATCCCTTTATTCTCTCTCCAGGATGATGCGACTTAGTATTTTAACTTGGCGTAAGTGGACAAGAGCATTATTCCACCCACGTCAGTCAATTCTTGCACAGGCAGGCCTAAGTCGCCCTTCTTTGGCAGAGAACACACACACACACATTAGAGAAACGATATTTGTAAAGTAAACTCAGATGGTATGGAATGAAAAATAATAGTAATATTGCTAATAATTATAAAAAAAAATAGGCAGGAAAAAAAGCAGCTTACTTTTCACATTCATATAGTCACGTGAAAAAACAAGATGATCAGAGAATTTGCCAAATTTTAAATCTGATATAGAATTTGTTAGAATAGTAAGCACATTCGATTCATCTGCAGCAAGACTGTGAAAAGCTATCGGAAAAACAAAAAGAGAAAAAGCATTGACAAACAAAAAACGAGGATTACAATTATGACATATAGAGACGACTTTGAAAACAGTTTAAGCGTATATAGGAAGAGATAACAACGTTTAGAGATAGATGAATGAAATATAGCATAGCTGATAATCATTTTGTTACAGAGTAAACTGACTTCATAAGCAGTACACATTGTTACAAAGTATGTCTGATTTCCCACAAACTGGAAGATATGAAAGCGAAAAGTAACAAGCTGGCACAAGAAACATCAAAGATAGGACTTCACTTCAGGTGAACATAGAGAAAACAGAGGTAGGTGATGAAGATTCCTGGCCAACACCACCAACAGCAACAACAACAGCAACACACTACAATCAGCATAAATGGGAGGAACCTGAAAGAAACAACCTCCTTTACCTACCTACCTGTGAAGCATCGTTTCAACTACAGGCCAGCGGAACTGACGAGAATATCAAAGCCAGAATCGGAAAAGCAAAACAAGCTTTCATTACTCTCAAGTCTGTGTAGAGGTCAGCAGTAGTCACCATCAAAAATAAGATCCGGATTTTCAACTCCAATGTAAAGTCGGTCTCTGTCTGTCTGTTTTCGACATAGAACTTTGCACAAATGTGCGGAAGTTCAAGTCGCCACATTCCGTGTAGCACGCGAAGCAAGAGAAGAAAGTACAAGAAAAGCATAATAGAAACAGTGAGCAGAGGTGTGAGACAAAGGAGTAATAAAGAAATACAAAACAGTTTCATTGGAGATCATAAGTCACAGGGAGTGAATGCATCTGCGCCACTGAGAACGATTTTGAGCCATGTCACCAATTGTTTCCAACCATAGATTTTTACCGTCCCGAAGACCCCAGCCTGGAAGTCTACACCTTCCTACGTGGCTTAGACCAACTGTTGTGGATTTCATTGACTGATGCCAAGTTTTTGTTTGACGGCCGCTAGCTTTTTTCCAGCCTGACCCTATATCCGCTAACATTGCTCATCGAGGGAGGCGATGGCTTGGCATACGTAACACATGTCCTAACCATCTCAGTCGACTGTAAAGTCGGTGCTACTCACTATACGGATCAGAGACTTGGCGAGTCATAAAGAGCATCTCGAACAAACTTCAGACCTTCATCAACAGTTGTCTTCGCTCAATACTCAAGATGAGATGGCCGGCCAGAAAAGATCAGAAACAGGGATCTCTGGGAGCGAACCAACCTAGCATGAACCGATTGTGAAATAAATAAGCAGGAAGAAATGGAGGTGGATTGGTGGCCATACTCTGAGGAAACCATCAAGTGACATCACTAGACAAGCCATTGCTCGAGTGGAACCCTACCGGATGAGAAGCGGCGAGTTGGTCGTCAGTGTAAGGGTGACTTGGAGGAGGTCAAGTGAAGAGGAGATGAAAGCATGTGGGCAGACTTCGAGCGGGGTGAAAAAGTTGGCAGAAAACCGAAGGCACTGGAGACGCGTGGCTGAAGCCCTATGTTCCTCTAGGAATTAAAGGATACAATAATAATAATAATTGTCATAGTGTTGCTTATTGAGCGTAGACGTTATATCCGGTTGACTGTCGACTACAGGGTGTGTGTGTACTGTACAGCAGCAGTTCGCTCTGTCCTCCTCCTTTATGGTTGGCTGTGGGTGAGACATGCCCATTGAAAATGGAAGACATGTAAAGCCCGGCTAGCTGTTTCCCATCACAGGTGCTTGCGTTGTATCTCCCATGTGAAGTGGTAAAATACGGGGAGTAATAGTGAGGTGAGGCGTCGAGTTCTAGGTAAGGAGGGGAAATCAATCGATGAGGCTGTGAAGTTACATCGACTGAGATGGTTAGGACATGTGTTACGTATGCCTAATCATCGCCTTCCTCTACTGACGGGCAATGTTAGCGGATATAGGGTCAGGCTGGAAAAAAGCTAGCGGAGGTCAAACAAAAACATGGATTCACCAGTCAATGAAATCCACAACAGTTAGTTTAAGCCACGTACGAAAGTGCAGACTCGCTGTCTGGTTGAGGTCCTCTGGACGGTAAAAACCAATGAAGGCTGGAAACAACTTTTGATATGGCTCAAAGTGATCGTTCTCAGTAACAGCGCAGATGCATTCACTCCCTGTGACTTATGATTTCCAATGGAACTATATTGTTCCTCGTTCATTATTACTATTCCTTTGTTTCACACCTCTGTTTACTGTTTCTATTATGCATTTCATTTTGCTTTCTTCTCTTGCTTTTTGTGGTACATGAAGTGTGGCGACTTGAACTGCCGCACTTTGGTGCAAAGTTCCATGTCGAAAACAGATAGACAGACTGGTCGGGGATGGTAAGAACCAGTGAGGGCTGCAGACAATCCTCGTTCTCGGTGATGCTGCAGGTGTATTCACTCTTTGCGATTTATCATATCCAATAAAAAACTATATTGTTCTTCCATATCGCTATTCTTTTTGCCTCATATTTCTGTTTATTATGACTCTTTACTCTATTTTCTTGCTTTGTGCGCTACATGGAGGGAGTGTGGCAATTTGAACTGCTGAACACCTCTGTGTGAAGTTTTGCGTTAAAAGCAGTCAGTCACTTGCTTGCTGACGATATAGTCCTTCTAGGCGAGGACGCTGACAAAATGAAGATAGCGTCTTCTGAACACCTTGAGCTGCAATCTACGAATGTTTGGAATGCGATTCGCTCCCGCCAAACGTAAGATGATGCTACAGGACTGGACTACACTGACTCCTAGCTTAGAAATAGGGAGTGAAGTGGTAGAGCACGTTGACCACATCACTTATTTGGGAAGTACCATCAGCCAACGCCAACGGGTTGATCTCTGACGAAATCTCAAAATGGATAGAGAGGGCTAGTTTCGCATATGCCATTTTACGCCGTCTCTGGTGTAGACGTGATATCCGGGTATCGATCAAAGGGCAGGTGTACTGTTCAGCAGTTCGCTCCGTCCTCGTTTTTAGCTGGCTGTGAGCAGGACCTGGCCATTGAGAGTGGAAGACATAAAAAGACCAGCTAGCTGTCTTTGATCAAATGTGTCTGCTCTCCATCACCAGTGTGAAGTGGTAAAATGAGGTGAGCAATATTGAGGTTAGGTGTCGAGTTCTAGGTAAGGAGGTGAAATCAATCGACGAGGGTGTGAAGTTATATTGAGGGAGATGGTTAGGTCATGTATTACGCATGCATGTCTAGCCATCGCCACCCTCTACGGGCAATGTTAACTGATATAGAGTCAGGTTGGAAAAGAGCCAGTGGTGGTCAAACCGAAGCATCGCTTCGTCAGTCAGTGAAATCCACAACGGTTAGTTTAATCCAACCAGTTACGTAGGAAGGTGTAGACTTCCTGACTGGCTGCTGGGGTCCTTGGAATGGTTAAAACCAATGGGTAGAGACTATTGGTGATATGTCTCAAAATTCTTGTTCTCAATGGTCGGCGCAGATGCATCCACTCGTTGTGAGTTATAATATGAAACTATATTGTTCTTCGTTATTACTATTCCTTTTGTCTCATATCCATGTTTACTGTCCCTGTTTTGCATTTCTTCTACTTTCTTCTGTTGCTCTGTGTGGTACAAGGAGAGAGTGTGGTGACTCAAACTTCTGCACATCGGTGAAAAGTTGAAAGCAGTTTGCTTACAAACAGGGTAGAAGTACTTTGGATGCTGCTGCTGTGTTTCATCACAACATTGTATCCTCCTTAGACAAAGGGGCCAAGTATGTCCGTTGTACTTTCCTTGATTACACATCTGCTTTTGACTCTGTACCTAGAGGCCTTTTGTTAAACAAGCTTAGCCTTACACAAACTGAGTCCTGGGCTATCAACTGGCTGCACTCTTACTTCTCCAATAGGATGCAGTACACGGTATATAATGGTGTAGCTTCCTCTCCTTTGCTTACTGAAGCTGGTGTTCCTCAGGGTGCTGTTCTCTCTCCGTTTCTCTTTTCCTTCTTCTTACATGACTTACCTCTCTCAGACGAAATCAACTTCGTCAAATATGCAGATGACCTGACTGTTTCGCTTCCCGTTAAGTCTCAGTCAGACTGCTTCAAATTAAATAGCTTCCTGTCAGACATCAGTCAGTGGTCTAAACTAAATGGCCTCATGCTGAATCCCTCAAAATGCCAGACTATTGACTTCTCCTTTAGGCATAAACGAGATCTACAAACACTAGTAAGCACTCATCAAGCCTGTAGCATTGAGGGGACTATAATTGAAACAAAGTCTAATGCAAAATACCTCGGATTAGTTATATCTTCCGACCTTACCTGGTCATCTCATATCCAAATGATTTCCAAGAAAGTGTTTCGTCTAACCTACTACATTAAGAAACTCAGACTAACTGGAGTCCCTCAACCTCTGCTTCCACAATTTGTCAACTCTCGTATCCTACCTATTCTACTTTACTGTTCCCCGTTAGTCTTTCCTGGGTTACTGAAAAAGGACTATACCATCCTGAGAAGGATGTTGAAGGTAGTTAGTAGGACTAGCGGTGTAAAACTCAGTCAGCTCGTCACTACATTAGTGGATAAGCATCTGAATACATGCGAGAAATGGTCTAAAACCATACTCTCTGACCCCCAACATCCCCTCTATTCCCAACTCTCTCCTTGCATCTCATCAGGTAGAACCAGAAATCAGTACAAAATAATATATGCTCGTACAACCAAGTATAGGAACTCAACGATACCATATTTGGCCCGTGTTCTAAGTGACAGAGACAATGTTAAGCGTGAAACCTATGACTTGCTTTGTTGTTAATAACATAATTTTGGCCCTTGTTATTTCCCCCTTACACTCTCTTATTTGTACTCTATAGTGAACAACCTTCTTAAACATACTTAGCTACCTAAAGTTATTATCATTGGCTTACTTTTTTTGTACTTTACTCTATTCCTTGTTTTGTATATCTACTGGGTCCGACTATATTATCACTATGATTATTACAAAATTGTCCTGTCATTAACCATCATGTAATATTAATTTTTGTGGTTGTTCTTTGTTCGGCACTATTTAACAGACAATCTTGTTTGTGAACGCCACTATCACCATCTTAAAAAATTTTGTATTATGCATGATTCCTCACACTACCACTACACACACTGCATTAGTGCTGACAATAAAAAAAACAACCTGAAATGTTTATTTTATGATTATTTAGTGTAGTTCAATCAAATTAGCTGATCATCTTGGCTATAAACATTCTTAAGAACATCTCATAATTTCTTGTATGATTATAGCTGTTACTGTCCACCACGCATACACATATCATAGCTTCCACTACCCAGTACTGAAATATTTTTTCATTATTGGTGTTTATCTTCCTTTCTACTTGGTATTTTTATTTGCATTTTTTTCTTTTGTTTTTTTTGTTATTTTTGCGTTTCTTTTTTGGTTTTTTGCTGTTTTTTTATATTTATTTATTTTTTTGTAATACTCCTTTTAAATGTACGATGAAATTAGATGCAATATTGTAGATAAGTGGTGAAAATTCCCCACTGTACCACTAGTACTGTTTCTGGAATAAAGCGAAATTGTTATGTTATGTTAGAAACTAGTGAGTCGGTCAGAGAACATTGGAAAATCGTAGTTCAGAGACAAGTTGACGTATTACAATCGCGGTTTAAATGATATCCAGTGTACAGTTATTTACGTAAGCTAATTTGCGAACATGCACAACCATCACCTCACAGCATATAGTATCACTTCCGATGTCAAACAAATGCTAAATCTTAGTTAAATACTTTCTTCACACCTTTGTGGAAATGTAATTGTTTGGATTGAGTACTCGACATCTAGTCAATGAATCCCCCCAGGTTCAAACCACACTTTGTTTATTTTAGTCTGAACAGCTGAGCAGTAACTGCCAGCTCCTCACAAAACAAGTGTAGCTCATAGGCTGGCACGCGAAAAATCTGTTCCACATAAGAGTTCTCACATTCTTTACAATCTTATATCAATTATGATGCTGCAACCTAAACATTATTGAGTCGGCAGGTCAGGGATACTAACTCACGATAACCCTACACGTGTTCAACGGTTCGATTCCCGACTGACGCACTCCTAAACCTCACCTAGCCAATATAAATCCTGAAAAAGAGGGAATTTCGAGTAAGAGGTTAGCAGTCCCAACCCCGTAACTGACTGGTTTCAACTTTGCGCCGATGTGCAGCAGTGCCAGTCGCCACACTCCCTTCATGTAGCACACATAGTAAGAGAAGAAAGTAGAAGAAATGCAAAACAGAGACAATAAACATGGATATGAGACAAAAGGAATAACAATAAAGAACAATATAGTTTCATTGGAAATTATAATTCACAAGGAGTGGATGCATCTGCCCCGGCCATTGAGAACGATTTTGAGCCATATCACCAATTGTTTTCAGCCTTCATTGATTGTTACCGTCCCGAGGACGTCAACCAGGAAGTCGACACCATTTTAAGTAACTGGCTGGCTTAAACTAACTCGTGGGTTTCACTGACTGATGAAGCCATGTTTTTGTTTGACCGCCACCAGCTCTTTTCCAGGCTGACCCTATGTCAGCAAACATTGCCCATTGTCGAGGGAGGCGATGGCTAAGCATGCATGCGTAACACATGCACTAACTATCTCAGTCAATTTAACTCAACAGCCCCGTAAGAAAATAACACAAACGCTACTGAAACTTCAACGCTTAAAGCTTGAAGCCCTATGCACCCACAAAAACGACCTGGTGTGGACAAAGATGGGCAGACTTCATCCTTCCTCTCCAAATGCTCTCATGGCGACACGCGTTCATAGCCTCCCACTGAAAGTCAAGTTCTATTCACTGTCTTCATTCGGTTGGGGTACACTAATCGCAAAAGTGAAAGGGCAACACTGCAACCAGACTGGTGAACATGCTGATCTACCTAGGAGAGCTGGAAAAACCTGATTTCAAGTCTATAATGCACATGGAATCCAGAATCCCTGCTTTTGTCACCGGAAACAATGTGCATGCACTTCCTGACGCTGCTCCACTGCCTTGTGAATTAGACATAGGCATGGGATCCCTTCCTCAAGACAACCACCTACTTTCGTCTGAGAGTCCCGGAAGTATCTCAGCTCTCGCAAAAACTACGAGTTTTGCTGTGGAGCATCTCTGGGTGCCAAGTTTGTTTTCTGTCTGTCTGTCTGGATTCAACATAGGACTTGGCACTGAAGTGCACCAGTTCGACTTGCCACGTTCCAAATAGCTGTCTGTCTGTCTGTTTTCGACATAGGACTTTGCACAAATGTGCACCAGTTCAAGTCGCCACACTCCGTGTAGCACGCGAAGCAAGAGAAGAAAGTACAAGAAAAGCATAATAGAAACAGTGAGCAGAGGTGTGAGACAAAGGAGTAATAAAGAAATACAAAACAGTTTCATTGAAGATCATAAGTCACAGGGAGTGGATGCATCTGCGCCACTGAGAACGATTGAGCCATGTCACCAGTTGTTTCCAACCATTGGTTTTTACCGTCCCCATGACTCCAATCAGTCAGGAATTCTACACCTTCCTACGTGGCTTAGACTAACTGTTGTAGATTTCATTGACTGGTGCCATGCTTTTGTTTGGCCTCCGCTAGCTATTTTCCACCCTGACCCTATATCAGCCAGCTAACATTGCCTGTCCGTCGAGGAAGGCAATGACTAGGCATACGTAACACATGTCCTAACCATCTCAGTCTTTGTAACTTCACAACCTCGTCGATTGATTTCCCCTGTTTACCTAGAACTCGACGCCTAACCTCAGTATTGCTCACCTTATTACGCCACTTCACACGGGAGATAGAACGCAGGCACCTATGATCAAAGACAGCTAATCTTTTCATGTCTTCCACTCTCAATGGCCAGGTCTCACAACCATAAAGGAGGACGGAGCGGACTGATGAGCAGTACACCCGCCCTTTGGTCGATAGTCGAACATCTCGTCTACGCCAGAGTCGGCGTAAACTAACAAATGCGAAACGAGCCCTTTGTATTCGTGCTGAGATTTCGTCAGAGATCAGCCCGTTGGGGCTGATGGTACTTCCCAAATAAGTGAAGCGGTCAACGTTCTCTACCACTCCACTTCCTATTTTTAAACTAGGCGTCGATGTAGTCCAGTCCTGTAACATCATCTTGCATTTGGCGGGAGCGAATCGCATCCCAAACATTCGTAGATTGCGGCTCAAGGTGTTTAGAAGACTCTGCATTTCGTCAGCGTCTTCGCCTAGAAGGACTATATCGTCTGCATATTCCAAGTCAACGAGATTATTCCCCGGTAGCAAGTCAATCCCTGAGTCGCTGAAGTCACCTAGGGTTAAGTCCATTAACACATCTATGATGAAGTTGAATAGAAAAGGAGATAATGGGCATCCTTGACTGACACCACTGGTCGTCATAGCACACAAAGGTAGACAAGAAGATGAGTGAAGAGAATCAATACAGTCTGACAAGTATAAGAGTGAAACAGAATGGGTAATGGTAGAAAGGAATATGAAAGATTACACAGACTGAATACATCTGCGCCAGCCATTGACAACGATTTTGAGCCATGTGTCACCTATTGTCTCCAGCCATTGATTCCTAGAGTCAGTCCCGAGGGCCCCGACCCGGAAGTCTGCATCTCCCTACCTACCTGACTCAGTTTAACTGTCAAGGATTTCATGGAGTGATGAGGCCATGTTTTTGTTTGGCCACCACTGGCTCTTTTCCAGCCTACACCTATATCAGCTAGTAACGCCCGTCGTCGGAGGAGGCGATGGTTAGGCATGCGCAGCACGTGACCTAGCCACCTCAATCTATGTAACTTTATAGCCTCGTCGATTGATTTTCCCTCTTTGCCCAACACTCTAGGCCTAACGTCAACATTACTTACCTTATTAAACCACCTCACGTGAGACAGAGATTGCAGATATCTATGATCGAAACCAGTCAACCTTTTCATGTCTTCAACGCGTATTGGCCATGTTTCAGAGCCATAGAGAAGGACGGAGCGAACTGATGAGCAGTACACACGTCCCTTGGTTGATAGCCGGATGTCACGCCTACGCCAGAGATGGTGTAAGTCAGCGAAAGCAGCTCGAGCTTTTTGGATCCGTGCTGAGATTTCGTCGCCAATCAGTCCGTTGGTGCTGACACAACTTCCCAAGTAGGTGAAGTGGTCAACATGTTCTATCACTTCACTCCCTATTACTAAGCTAGGAGTTGACGTAGTCCAGTCCTGTAGCAGCATCTTACATTTTACAACAGGGGCGAATCGCATGCCAAACAAGTTTGTTTTAATAATAATAATAGTAATAATAAAGCCCGATACTTCACTCGGAATGCAAAGGAATGGAAAAAACCTAGAAATTACTTATTGGCTGGTCTATTAATATTAGGCTTCACTACTTATGTTTGTCCAGACACACAACGTTCTGATTGACAGATAAACACTGACGCTATTGAACTGCCACTTAATACACAACTAATAGAAACACATACATGATATGTATATATATACACTTACCAAGGGAAGGATGATCACAAAGAGAACTTGATCGTGTATCACAAACAAAAATAGAACCTCTATTTGTACCATAGGCAAAAAGTGATGGACTAGTATTACTACAACTAATCCCAGTGATCAAATGAGATCGATCATCTAACCGATCAAGCATATGATCAACAATACCTATAAAGCGATTGGTTGATGTTAAGGATACATTCGCTATGCACAACAAAGTAAATAAACAATACACAACATGGAATGCTGAAGTTCAACAATAGCATCACAGGAGTGCGAACACTCAAATGACCTAGAACGCTTGCTAGTCATTGTTGACTGAGGAAACTTACGATTATTCTAGCGCGAAAATGAACACTGTTCATTTGCTCAGGTGTGAAATTTCACCCAGATCACGTAATTTAATACTGTCTGGATAATGGAGCTCCATGAGCAATAGTCCCCTCCCGGTAACCATATTTACATATGTATTGATCATTTTTATTATTGACTTGAGTTTTAAACTTTCTCGTCGCATGATTTACTTTTTATTAGTTAGTATATTTGGTCTATATTAACAGGTTTGTTAATTGCATATTCCTTTTGAGTACTAGACTTTTAGGAATTCTCTGGCACTTTCCTGTCTAAGATTTCGACACTATCCCAGTTATCAAACTGATGTCCATAATTATCTATATGCATTGATATGAAAGAATATATATCGTGTCTTTTCACGGCTGATTTGTGTTCCTGGATTCTGACTCGAAATGGGGATGCCCACTTTGGCCAATGTAATGTCTGTTATAGTTCATACATTTTATTTTGTAAATGGTATTAGTTTTATCTCCCTTTTCTGTTGGATCTTTTGTTTAGCACAATATCGAATGAAGTGATTTGACTGGCTTGTGTGCTATATCTATAACAAACGGTTTCAGTATTCTAGATGTTATTTCAGAGATACTTTTTCATATATGTGGTAGAATGAATTTTCTTGTAATCTTTGATGATGGTTCCTTGTTGGTGTTTTGATTCGATTTTAAACACTTTTTGATGAAATTTTGTAGATAACTATTCTTTTTTGAAGACGATTAGTAGGTAAAAACATAAAAACGCAATGTTCAGTGATTGGGATAATGTCGAAATTTTAGACAGAGGAAACACCAAAAGGCAATATGCCAGGGAATTCCTAGAAGCCTGGCGCTTAAACGAATATGCAATTAACAAACACGTCAACATATAGACCAAATCTACCAACTAATAAAAAGTAAATCATGTGACCAGAAAATTTACAATCCAAGTCAATAAATAGAAAATGATCAATATACATGTAAAGATGATGGTTACCGCGAGGAGGCGCAATTCGCCGAAGACATTGGCTAGCGGTCGCGCTATGTCGTGAATTGGCAGAAGTTAGAATTCAAGGACCATTGGATAGGGTCCCAGTGGCTTAATGGTATACGAGCTCGTCTTGTAACCGGAAGGTCCTGGGTTCGAATCCCGGTGGGGTGCGTACTGTTGAAGAGTCCCAAACTAGGACAAAGGAAACAGCTGTCCAGTACTCCCAGCTGGTTTTCCAATGGTTCTCTAACTAATGTCAGCTCATGATGAAATCCTGAAACCAATCAAATCCCTACAAACCAACACTTGAAAAAATTCAAATCAGTTGGCTTTATGCTAAAAATTCCGCTGAAAAGGGATGTTGTCCAGAAGGGGGACGACGAAAGCTCCACAACTAGAACCAACCAGCTCAGAGAACACTATCAATTACAAATGTGGATGTTTGTTTAAAAACATAACAATAATATTAAAACATATTTATTTAGTGGCTTTATAACTTGTTTCTCACTAAAGATTTCTATGCAGACTATGCGGACTGATTGAATTATTATACAATTCAGTTGAGACCCCTGTTGTATTCACAAACATTTTAGAAAACTACATGATAATTTGTGAGTCAGCAACTGAGTGGCAGAATGCTACTCACCAACACCCTACAGACACACACACACACACACAAGTGGTTCGGGGTTCGACTCTCAACCCACATACTTCTAAACATCATCTAAGCCCGGAAAAGAGGAGAGGTTGGGAGGAGGGACGGCATGAGGTTAGCAATCCCACCTACTCACTACCACCCCCGTAAAAACAACAGCACCAACACTCCTGACACTTCAAGGCTTGGAGTCCTATGCTCGTACCCAGAACTCAAAGGAATAACACAAAAATGTGACAATTCATGAGCCTTAGAAATTTTAAACACACAGGCAACCCCCCCACACACACACACACAAGGGATACCCCGCTCTCATATACCTATTCATGATTCAATAATGCAATAAACAATTTAAATCAATCAGTAGAAAGAAAAAGGATACTAAACACTTCATTTGTAACTTCCAGATTCCACATATTAATTCGAAGTGGATCAGCGGAGAAAAATGTCTCTCGATCAGCAGATGGTGAGATGCCGACGATTGTAAAACCATGCCCACGTGCAAATATCTTTCGATTCAATACACGAACATTTGTATTTTCATAATTTTTTACACAAACTGGAACTTTAATGTCGGACAATGATCGTATAACAACTTTTCGTCGACAACCACATTCAACAGGAAAATTTAAATTTGAAAATGATTGTGTTGGGAGTTCAGTTAGTTGCCAAAGTTTGATAGTACGTTCTGTAGACAGAAAGGGAGACAGAGAGAGAAGACAGTAGTAGATTTGATAAGTTTTAATTAAATGTACTGTGTATTATATTACAAACATTAAAACAAAATAACAGCAAAAAACTTTTGATCGTCTATATCGGAAGTAAACTCTTGCATCCTACCTATTCTTCGTACACAACAGTATCGTCTCATCATTGGATAAAGGTGCCAAATACGTTCGCTGCACGTTTCTCGACTTCACTACTGCTTTTGACTCTGTACCTAGATATCTCTTGCTAAATAAGCTCTCGATGACACAAACTGAGTCCTAAGTCACTAACTGGTTGCATTTCTACTTTTCAAACAGAATGCAGTACACTGTAAACAAAGGTATTTCCTACTCTGCTGTGCTCACTAAAGCTGGTGTCCCCCAAGGTGCTGTACTCTCCCCACTTCTCTTTTCTTTCTTTCTCTCTACATGACTTACCATCTTCAAATGACATTAATTTTGTCAAATATGCTGACGACCTGACTGTATTTTTGCCTGTCAAATGTCAAAGTGACTGCTCCAAACTAAATGGATTTTTATCAGAAATTAGCCAGTCGTCCAAGGAAAACGGTCTCACCTTAAACCCCTCTAAATGTCAAACAGTCGATTTCACCTTCAGGCATAAATCTCACCTAAACGAAGTGATTAGCACTCACGAGGTGTGCAACATAAATGGCACTGAAATAGAAACCAAGTAGGAAATTAAATATCTAGGCGTCATTCTATCTGCTGATCTTTCCTGGTCGTCTCATATCTTGATGATTTCGAAGAAGATATTCCGTCTTACCTTCTACATCATGACATTAAGACTTTCCGGTATAACCCAACCCTTACTCCTACGATTCGTTAACTCTTGCATCCTGTCCATTATTCTCTATTGTTCCCCCTAGTTTTTCCTGGACTTTTGAAGAAAGACTATAACTTATTACGTAGGATATTAAAGGTTGTCAGTAGGGTAAGCAGTTTGCCACTTAGCCAGCTTGTTAATATTCTGGTTGACAGGCACATGGACTCATGTGAAAAATGGGCTAAATCCATTCTATCTAACATACAACACCATCTTCATTCACAACTCTCTCCTTGTATTTCATCAGGCAAAACCAGAAGCCTATATAGAAAACTATATGCTCGCACTAGTACAAAAGTACAAAAACTCAACCATACCCTACTTAGCTCGTGTTCTGTGTGATAAAGAAAGCATTAGGCGTGATACCTACAACTTATTAAATAGTCAGTAGAACAATTAGACCTCGTCTTCCCAACTTTATATCATTTATAGGTACAACGTTTTCTTTCTTTCTTTTCCTTTTCTCTCTCTTTTTCTGTTATGTGCTGCTTTGTTTTTTTCTTCCGCTTACGCCGGTAAATATGCTAGTAGTATCTACTTTTCTAACACCTTCAAACACTCTGTTCAATTTTCGGCTTTGCTAACGACATGCTTATATGTTGTTGTCAAAACTGACTGAGATTTCCTTAATCTATGTAGAACTTTATTTATTGATAATGTACTAACTGGATGTAATACTGTAGTAAAATGCTGAGAATTCCATTCTGTATTCGCAAATACTGTTTTGGAATAAAGCTTATTATTATTATTATTATTGTTCACCCTTATTCTTTCCTGGTTTGCTTAAAAAGACTATGTCACAATTCGTAGAATGCTGAAGACTATCAGTAGGGTGAGTAGTGTCCCAGTGGACCACATAGTTAACGTCGTTGTCGATAGGCACTTGACTTCGTGCAATAAATTTGCTAGAGGAATTTTGTCTGACTTGGAGCATCCACTTTACTTACCCTCAGCTTTCACCTTAGATATCCTCAGGTAGAACAAGAAGTAACTTCAGAAAACTGTATGCTCGCACGTTTAGGTATAAAAATTCTATGATACCATATTTGGCACGTATTTTATGTGATAGTGAAAATAGTGTCAGGCAATAATTAACTAACCAACCTTTTTTTATCTAGTAAATAAACAATTTCCTCCATCCATCCTTATATACCTTCAAGTTTTACTTTTATTATTTCTGTTACATTTATGGTCCTGTTGCTTCTTTGTTTGTTTTACTCTCATAATTGCAAACACCAACTTATCTCTATGACTGCTGTAATCTTTGTTTTTCCCCTCACCATATCATGTAAAGAGAAGATTATATTCAATATTTTTAAACATGTTAGTATTTCTATACAGCGTATAACGGCAATGCTGTGTGAAACAAGCCCATGGAATTTTTCACTTGTATTATTATTATTACCTTAGCGGTTATCATTATTATTTCCATTTTATATGCTGCATGTTTTTGACACTACCTCTATTGTAAATGTGGAAAATTTTCTGTGTGATTAATTTTTATTTATAATTTGAGGAAATTAGATGGAATATTGTGATGAATGCTGAAAATTCCATTCTGTATCACAAGAGTACTGTTTTTGGAATAAAGTAAATTATTATTAAAAAAGAAATCCAATTACTAAGGCAGCTAGAAAAATATCTACGTCACTGACTGACTGACTGGGTTTCAGCATAGAACTTTGCACAGAAGCTCATCGATTAAAGTTGCCATCCTCTATGCAGAACACAAAGGTAGAAAAAGGAGAGAAGGAAGAAATTCAAAGGGACTATAATCAGCAGAAATGTTTGGACGAGCATTAATTGTATCTTAGAGAGGAGATCATAAAGACTGGATAAGCATCTGAGTCATTAGGAAGTACTTCGAGCTATATGACCAATACTTGCAAGCGATTGAGTGCTAGGTGAGAAGGGGAAATCAATCGATGAGGCTGTGAAATTACATCGACTGAGATGGTCAGAAAATGTGTTACGTATGCACGTCTAGCCATCGCCTTCCTCGATGGTCAATGTTAGCTGACATAGGGTCAGGCTGGAAAAGAGCTAGCGGCGGCCAAATCAAAACATGGCTTCATCAGTCAGTGAAATCCACGACATTTAGTTTGAGACAGCCAGTCTCACATAGGAAGGTGTACACTTCTTGACTGGTTGGGGTCCTCGGGACGGTAAAAACCAATGGTTAGAGACAATCAGGGATATGGCTCAAAATTATTCACAATGGTAGAGATGCATCCACTCCTTGTGACTTATGATTTCCAATGAAACTATATTGTTCTTCGTTCGTTATTACTATTCCTTTGTCTCACACCTCTGTTTACTGTCTCTAATATGCATTTCTTCTACTTTCTCATGCTTTGTGTGTTACGTGGATGGAGTGTGGCGACTTGAACTGCCACACATCAGTGCAAAGTTCTGTGTCAAAAACAGACAGACAGACAGTCAGAAGCAATTGATTTTTACTACCCTGAGGACCTTAATCAGGCAATTCTACACCTCTCTAAATGTCTGGCTCAAACCGACTGTCAACAATTGCATGAATCGACTCCAAGTTTTAGTTTGACCACCACCACCCTCTCATTCTTTTAAAAACTAACCCTGTGTCAGAAAAATATTGCTCGTCGAGGAAAGCGATTGTATCGCGTACACAACCTGTGTTCTAGACATTGCAATTAATGTAGCTTCACAATTCCACTAATTGACTTATCCTCGTTACGTAGGACTCTTACACCTAACCATAATATCGCTGCTTCATCATATTATACCACATAACATGGGGGATAGAAAGTAAACATCTGTGTTTAAAGACAGTTTAATCTAATCAACTTCATTAAATTATATTTTAACTACTTGAGAATTACAGAAATTGGTTAGTGGTTGCAGAAGAGGCTATTTTTTGGCATCTTTTCGCATAGGGATGCTTTTATAATACAAGGATTTAACATTTAAAAACTTCGCAAAATTATATTAGATATTGTAAACATTGATCAACTTGACGCACCTAGGATATTAAACGTTTAGATGTGGAAAATGAACACATTGAAATTAAAATCACTCACAGAGATGCCAAATAATGTATCTTATTAGGTGTCTGTCGCCAAATCATGGCATACTATTTTGACAAAATTCAAATTGGTGACATTAAAATACTAATGGGAGATGTGAACAACGTCAAACTGGAACCAGACAACACAGGAAGAGAACTCATCATGGGTAGAGAAGCTCTCGGAGAAATGAATGAAAATGGAGAACCCTTCTCTGACTTCTGCGACTTCAATGAACTAGTGATTGGTGGCAGTGTATACAAACACAAGGATATCCACAAGGCTACATGGGTGTCACCAGATGGGCGAATCAAAAACCAAATTGACTTAATCTCAATGCTGCTCAAGGAAGTGAAGGCGCAGTCTACAGGACACAAAAGTAAGAAGAGGAGCAGACGTTGGCTCAGAACACTATCTCGTACAAGGGACAATCCAAATCAAATTAAAAGCTTTCAGGGAAACAGGAGCTGCAGATAGACCACAAGCCAAGTTCAACACTCAAACTGAACGGCCAGGATACAAAGGACATCTTCACTGCAAGCCGAGACACAAATCAACACTAGCGAAGAGGTCAGCGTCGAAAAGCACTGGGACAACCTGAAAGTGGTGTGGAGTCAAACCTGCATGGAAGTTCTAGGCAGAAAGAGGAGACAGGACAAACAGTGGCTCACTACGGACACTTGGAGACTAATAGAAGAGAGAAGGATACTGAAACAAAAGATTATCCAGTGCACCGACGAGCAACAAAATCAGGAGTTGAATGCAAGCTACAATGCGCTGAACAAAAGAGTGAAGAAGAGTGCCAAGGAGGACAAAAGAAACTGTTATGAAGCCATGGAAAGTGAAGTAGAACAAGCTGCAGGCAAAGGAAACCTCGCCACACTCTATCAAACAACCAGGCACCTATCGGGCAAAAGTTCGACACAGATTAAGCCAGTAAAGGATGACGAGGGAAGGTTAATCACCAAAGAAGTAGCGCAAAGAAAACACTGGGCTGAACACTTCAAAAGACTTCTAAATCGTCCGCCACCTGCAACGCGCCCAACAATACCAACAATGGAAGCAGAACTACCAGTGAACATCGACCCTCCGA